TATGGTAGTGGGGTCATTGTTTGGATGACCTTTGATCTTGTCTGTGACTCAGTTTCCACCCCTGTATGGGCTGTACATAGGTCTATTAAAGTAAATGTATTCTGACTTTGGTGTTTGCTGGTTAGCTCAGCTCTGAAAAAGGAGGTGTGCCCCCTAAATGCGTTAGTTCTTTAGCATAACGGTATCACTTGTTAGGCCACATGATTCCTGCATTGGATTGTGCCTCATGGTTTTAATACCTTCATTTCTTCTTTTTTTTGTGAGTAACCATTTTGGCAATATTTTCATTTTTTACAATAAATCTCTGATAATGCACTAGGTGTTTGCGCCCTCCTGTGTGTTTTTTTTGTAACGGTTATTTCTATACTGCTGAGCTTTACGAACATTGAGTAGAATTATAATTTTGAGGCATGACATTTCAGTATCTATGGACTTGTCAGTCTCCTCTGTTTTATTTTACAAATAATCGAGGATTACCGTACATTGTGCTTGTTTGCATTTCAATAAATGTGCTCCATGAGCTGTGGGGAGAGGAATGTTCCAGTCTGCAGCTCACTGGAGTACACAAAGCATGTTCAGGGTTGGGAGATGAGTTTGGAGGATGCCCGAGCCCATCTCTTCCACTACCCCCAGATGTCATGAACATTTAACCCTTGTAGTGCAGAGGAGGGGGGGGGGGGGGGGCAGTGTTTTTTGTTTTCTTCCCGGAGTTCAACTTTAATATAAAACAAATGTCACTCTTTTGGTGCCTTGTCTGTTACTCACCTCTCAGACATGACCCCGGATAAAGTGATCGCTCACCACAGTTCCAACCAATGAATGCCATGGGATGAACAAGCCCATCATAAGACAGCAGTGTGGGATCTGGGAGAGTCTCTAAAGAAAAGCAAATGACACAAATCAGTCCCAGTATCAGTAGCTCTCTATGACATACTGCCATATTCTCATCTGTGAGCAGGAAAACTAATAGGAACAGCATGGATCACAGAGGAAGAAGTCTAATCACCGACCTCTGCCTGTCACAGCCGTCACATCATCTCAGGATGCAGCCAGCACAGCCCCCCCCCCCCCCCCCCCCCCCCCCCCCCCATAAACTGACAGGTCTCCTGGAGGGCAGATCCCTGTGATCACAGCTCATCTGACTCATCAACGCTGCTCACCATTGAAGTCATACACCTCAGCTAAACCAAGAATAGACAACGATCACATAAATGTGGAGTATACAGAAATCTCTGTCCTGTCCCTTTATAATGGTCTGCCTTCATCGCTCCATTCATTTCCGTAGAGCTAAACTCCATCCAATGGGAGGATGAAGTGATGTCACGTGGTGTTCTGCCTTCCAGGCACAACTATTCAGAAGACACTGGGCTGAGAGCGACTCCTACCGGCCGTCTGTATAAAGAGGATTTATATCATTCACCTCCAGGCTGTGCATCCATTTATTAGAGATCAGCACTTTCCTGTACAGCGCTGCTGCCATCATGATGATCACGGCAGTAGAATCCTGAATGATAACATCCTCTTCATAAGCTGCCTGTAAATAATACATTCATGTGTCAGTAGTCCACATGTAGCTGTCAGGTTGTCTAGCTCAATGTTTCTCAACTTTTCTTCATTCAAGGCACCCTTTAAAATTCTAGACATTCTTGAAGCACACCATTCGAAGATGGGGTACCTTAAGACTGTCCATACTTTTAAAAGGGCACCCCATTCTAAAACGTGAAAAACTATTCTAATAGTTTTCTATAATGCAGCAACATCCACAGACGTAGGACATCCAACATTAGAGATTATTTATTCTTCCAAAGCAAATACACTTTTTCACACTGGTACTGACTAGTATTCCAGTGTTTCTCTTCTCATGTGACCCCAGCACTGATGGAGATGGGCAGGGGAAGATCAAACTAGGATGCTGTGCGGGCAACTGACATCCTCCTTATCAACTAATGTAATTGGTTGTCAGGATGCCAGCAGCTAGAAGGTTATAATGGTGCACAATGAAAACGTGGCTTTGTGTAAAAAAAAGCCAAGCTTGTTCCACCCCTGGCTTGCAAACAAGTTTTGGGCAATTTTTAGACATTTTGCCAAGGCACCCCTGAAGAAACCTCAAGGCACCCCAGGGTGCCTGGGCACCCTGGTTCAGAAAGGCTGGTCTAGCAGATCCGACAGTGTTGCTGCATTCAGGTCTGACATTGTGGAAACTGGAATGTAGAGACAGCAACCTAGACTGTACTGCACACATCAAGCTGAATATAAATCCATGCCCAACATTAGGTTGCCTCTCCCACACACAGCAGCCTTTACTTACAAAGAAAACTAATTATTAACCCAAAATTTAAATTGCGCTTACCATTCCTATACCAAGCACAGGGCAATGTGCAGGAATCTGTTATTTTACAAAGGCAGCATGAATACCTACCTACTCAAAGTGGAATTCCAGCTCAAACCTAACTATCTTAAAGGATAAGTTCCCCTTTTGGACAAAAGTAATAAATGCACATTTTTTTGCAGGTAAAAACATGTGCATTTTTAATTTTTGTCCAAAGGACCCTGGAAAGCATTGCACGAGCGATCAGTAGATCGCTGATGCCATGCAGGTCTTCTGCAAAGACTGGCCATAGGGAACAGGGTCGCCGGGCTTAAGATGACCTGGCCACACAGCGGGAGGTAAGCTGTGACCGTTGTCTGGACGGGGCTAATACAGATGTGGCCGCCGCTCACCTCCAGCTGTGCAGCTATGCCCAAAGCAGGGCCTTCAGGAGAAGCAGCAGTGACAGCTCCTGAAGACAAGCAGGAAGCGCCGCTGACACAGGGACACCTCCTCGGCCGGCCGCTGCACTGGAGGGAGAATGGCGGCCTCTTCACCCTCGGCCGCCGGCAGGTGAAGTAGCAGCGGTGGATGGGGCTGTCTCTGCTGGATGGGCTGTCTCTTTGCTGGAGGAGCTGTCTCTTTGCTGGAGGAGCTGTCTCTTTGCTGAATGAGCTGTCTGTTTGCTGGAGGGGCTGTCTCTTTGCTGGAGGGGCTGTCTCTTTGCTGGACGGACTGTCTCTTTGCTGGATGAGCTGTCTCTTTGCTGGAGGGGCTGTATCTTTGCTGGATTAGCTGTATCTTTGCTGGAGGGGCTGTCTCTTTGCTGGAAGAGCTGTCTCTTTGCTGGAGGGGTTGTCTCTTTGCTGAATGAGCTGTCTCTTTGCTGGAGGGGTTGTCTCTTTGCTGGAGGGACTGTCTATTTGCTGGACGGACTGTCTATTTGCTGGATGAGCTATCTCTTTGCTGGAGGGGGCTGTTTCTTTGCTGGATGAGCTGCCTCTTTGCTGGAGGGGCTGTCTCTTTGCTGGAGGGGCTGTCTCTTTGCTGGATGGTCTCTCTCTATGATAGATGAGCTGTCTCTGCTGGATGGGCTGTCTCTTTGCTGGATGGGCTGTCTCTTTGCTGGATGGGCTGTCTCTGCTGGATGGTCTGTCTCTTTGCTGGACTGGGCTGTCTCTTTGCCCAGTTGGGTCCAGGAAAGAGACATCCCAATCCAGCAAAGAGAAAGCTCAGTCCAAGAAGGGACATCCCCATTCAGCAAAGATACATCCCTGTTCAGCAAAGAGACATCCCAGTCCAGCAAAGAGACAGCCAAGTCCAAGAAGGGACATCAACATCCAGTAAAGAGACCTCCCTGCCCAGCAAAGAAACATCTCGTCTTTGCTATATGGGGATGTCTCTTTGCTGGATTGGGCCATCTCTTTGAATATATAGGGGATATACTGTATTTAGAACTCTAGGGGCACTGTAATGTAAAGGGGCACTGTAATATATACAGTGCCCCTTTACAGTTCAGTCCCCTTTATATCACAGTGCCCCTTTATATTACAGTGCGGAGGACTGACTCCATGAATATTCCGTCACCAACTGCCCTTGCCTGGAAATTGGCTGCTCAGTCTAAAATGCATGGGCCTATTTTTTGTCCCAGTCTGGGCCTGCCTGTCATAATATCTGTTTGCCGTCTGGGATATACGAGCAGGCAGATATACTGACAGGAGGCTTCAATGAACTACAACAGTGCTCCACAGCAACGTGATAGTTAATTGAAAACTACAAGCCAACAGCCGCTAAGGCTGCCGGGACTTGTAGGCACTCATTTACAGAACCCTGTGAATGAGTGACGCGGCCATGTGGGCAGAGCCCCACATGGCCATGCTTTCAAATCTGACAGATAGTACGAGGAAATGTCTCCCCGTACTATCTGTCAGAGGGAGGGGAGGGCAGGGGCTGCGGCTATGGGAACATGTTACATATTCAACCCTAAAAACGGATGAAATACTGTATATAATGTTAATAACATGTTCCAAAGGTGAACTTATCCTTTAAACCTAATTAGCCTTATAAAATGTTCACTCCCCCCTTCTAACACCTATGCTGACAATCCTGTGTAAAAAAGATTTATATATCTATTTCATTATAGGTACTTATATAGCACTGTTGATTTATGTAGCACTTTACATATATATTGTGCATTCACATCAGTCCCTGCCCTCAAGGAGCTTACAATCTAAGATCCCTAACTCAAATTTACACATACTAGGACCAATTTAGACAGGAGCCAATTCACCTACCAGTGGGAAGTTTGGATGACGTCACAACGTTCGTTTTAAACAGTAAAGTGTGGTATTCATATAGTGGTGAAGGCATTATTGCACAAGATTACCAGATTTATTGTTTATGCTGTTTATTTAGTGCAATCTAGCACCTGGAACAAGTGAGTGCATATTGATCAATTTAAAGGGTTTATTAAATGTTTTGAGGATAAAGCACTATGCAGCATTTTATTTACATGTGGTGGAGTGGATAATAAGGAGGAGGTGAGTGGAAAAGCTGTGAATAGTGGTTATTGGACACACTCAGGATATCTTCATAGTCCATTTAAGGGACAAAAAGCGTGTTGAAACCGAGCATTTATTGAGAGGTCATTGAGTGGAGGTGAGCAAACATTTGGTGGTGGTACAGACACTGGATGCAGGGGCGGACTGACCATTCGAGCACTCGGGCACTGCCCGAGGACCCGAGGTCAGTAGGGGGCCCCATGAAATGCCCCTGGTACCTTTTTTATAGGCTCTTATGAGTGTGGGCAAGGACACAGGGGCCCCATGATCCCCTATTGCCCCATGAGTTCTCAGTCCGCCCCTGACTGGATGTCATTGGAACTGGCACAAAAGCTGTGGCACATATTTGAATATTTGGACTTTGTTTAATCAATTCATAACAGTGGACTTTCATATAATTTTTGATCTAGTAGCATTTATGAATGTTTATACACTATTTTATGTAATATGGGAGTGAGTTATTTCCATTAGTCAGCGCTGTACAATTTTGGTTATATTAACCTACCAGCATGTCTTTGGAGTGTGGGAGGAAACCAGAGGAAACCCACACAGGCACAGGGAGAACACGCAAAGGCCTGATGGCCTCATGGTCTGGATTCAAACCGCCGACCCTAGTGCTGCAAGGCGGAAGTGCTAACCACTTTCTCACTGTGCTGCCCATCAGGGCCGCTGATAAGGGGGTACCACCGGTCCTCCAGTACTGTGCCCGGGCCCTATCAGTTCAGCAAGCGGCCTGGGCAGCTGCTTTTCTGCCTTTCTGCTACATTTGCATCCGATCCACAGCCTCCTGTCATTCTCCCGCAGCTCTGCTCAGTGCTCTGATGTTAGCTCTGCTTCTCCCCATCCCCTTCTATTTATCTCAGTAAGTCTGTTTCTCATCCCCCCTCCAGATTCTTGCGCTATTCACTCTGCCTGTCATATACCGCCCCTCATCCCTGCAATCACACTCCAGTCTTCTCAGTCCCATCCATTGTACCCAGGTAAGTCTCCCTGCAGTCTCAGTCCTTCTCTCATGTACCTCGTGTACTCCTCCCATCTAATCTATCCTGTCTCTCACAATCAATCCTGTTTCTCCAACTGCCCAGCCTGTATATTTACCTGTATATTATTTTCTGCTCTCCCCCCTCCCTGACACAGACACAGCCATAGATGTCTTTTGTAGCTGGGCTTCCCACTCCTGTCTCCCAGTCTGGTTCCCCCTCAGCTCACTGCTCCAAATCTCTCATTCCCCTATTCAGTGCAACTATTTTCTAATTTTTTTTCATATTTTTTTTTAATGGATATTTATTAATCATTAATTGGGGGGGGGTTCCCTGGGGGGGAGGTCCCTGAAACCAATCATCCAACTGCTTCCCCTGCAGCACAGCTGCCTTTTCCTTTCTCTTCTGCCAGCTTTCAGCTGCTGCAGGGGGATCAGTTCTGATCATTCTCCCTGTGCAGGATCCAACTCCTCCCTCCCACAGCCTCGATCCTCCTGTGTCCCCCTCCACAGCAGCGGCTTCTTCTCCTCTCCCTTCTGCTGACTGTCAGCTCCTGCGAGCACACAGGGGGATCATTTCAGGATGGGGGGTGTTAAATATGTCATATTTACTAACCCCTTCCTTTTCTCTTTCCTCCATGAACATAGTGAATGATCGGTACCAATCACACGCCATGTTCATTCATAACTGAAGTATAGTAAACTGTGTTTACTATGCTTCAGTTTGTGAATGAACAGACAGCCTTGGTACAGAGAACTTCAAGTTCATTCATCTGCCCAACATGGTTGTTGAAAATTTTTTAAAAGTAGTAGTTAAAAAAAATTGTAAAAATGAAAAAAAAAAAATAAATAAAAGGGTGTGGGGGGGGGGGTCTTTCACACAGGTACACTGGCCATGTGAATGAGTGATTTGTTCATGTGGCTGAAGCCACATGTTACTGAATGGAGACACAGCAGCTGTTATGAACACAGCTGCAGGTTTTAATCTGACAGGTGTGCAGGTGCGGGTGATTTGCCCCAAATGCCCACTGTTCATGTTTGGGTCCGTACATCTGCACCCACACACCCTTAAATTTAGAACCTGCAGATGTGTTCATACAGCCACTGTGTCCCCCAAGACCTCATTTACACGCAGGACTTTATTACCTCAATGCACTTTTATATTTTGGATTAAGCAGAAATTATTTAAGTTATGTTGTGTTTGTGTCAGCTAAAAATGATTTTAGTGTATATATTAGCAAAATATCACTTTGATATTTTCTACGGGAGGGGGGGGCCTGTCAGGTAGGCTGTACGGGGCCCCGCAATTTCTACCAGCAGCCCTGCTACCCATATAGTTACCTATTTTTGGCTGTTCTAGTCTGGTCATGTGATCTTCCCTGTGCCAGCCAGCAGCAGCTGCAGGGGAGAGGAGAGAGCATGCGACTCCGGCTGGTCGAGTTGCGACATCACCAATAGGATCCTATGAACCATGCACTGTCATTGTTCCCTCTTCATCCCCGGTAGCCACATTGGCTGACACTGCGCAGCCAGGACCACGTGACCAGACTGGAGTGGCCTGAAATAGGAAATATGCAAAATATATGCATTTCTTTTAGGTTATTCAGCATAGGTGTTAGGTGGGGGGTAATTTTAAGGCTAGTCATGTGTAAAGTGGTTGTAAAGGCTCAAGGTTTTTAACCTTCTTGCATTCCATCCATGAATATAAAAAACATTTTGTGTGCACCAGCACCACTGCCCCCCCCCCCCCCCCCCCCAACTTACCTGTGCTCCATCTCCATGCAGCAATATGCACAAGTCAAGAGCCTCGGCTCTCCTAGATCTCTCACTCCTTATTGACCGAGAAAAAAGCTGTAACTATTGGCTCCATCTACTGTCAATCATAGCCAGTAAGACAATGAGGAAAGAGCGGGGATGGGCCTAGCCACAGTCTGTGTGTGAATGAACACACAGAGCAGCAGCCCAGGAATGAGCCTGCTTGGGTGACCCCATAGCAAGCTGCTTGCTATGGGGGCACCAGATGGGGAAGAGGCCAGGATCGCCAGCGAGGAACCCAGGAAGAGGATGATCAGGACTACTGTGCAAAACCACTGAACAGAGCAGGTAAGTATAACATGTTTTTGTTAGTTTAAAACAAAAAAAAATTGCCTTTAATATCACTGTAAGCTGGAATTCCACTTTAACTAAAGATTCCACATTTTTTATACACAGTAGCATTATAATAAGATGTTATAAACAGCAGTCAGTGCCAGGGCCGGTCTGGCAACTCATGGGGCAATAGGGAATCATGAGGCCCCTGTGTCCTTGCCCAAACTCAAAAAAGCCAAAGGGGCATCTCATGGGGCCCCCTACTGACTCCGGGCCCTCGGGCAGTGCCCGAGTTTCCAAATGGTCAGTCCGCCCCTGGTCAGTGCTGGTGTTCACAGTAGAAGTAGCAGTGTAGAAGTGCTGTTGTTTCCTCTACCTGCTTTCCTCAGTCTGCTTAGGAGTACTTACAGTATGAGTCTATTAACCACTTGCCTCCAGAGGATTTTCCCCCCTTCCTGACCAGGCCTTTTTTTACGATACGGCGCTGCGTTACTTTAACTGACAATTACGAGGTCATGCAATGCTGCACCCAAATGAAATTTAAGTTCTTTTTTTCCCCACAAATAGTGCTTTCTTTTGGGGTTGGTTAATCGCCTGTGCGTTTTTTATTTTTTGCGCTATAAATTAAAAAAAACAACAATTTTGAGAAAAAAACAATATTTTTTTCTTTTTCTTTTTGCTATTAAACGTGTCCAGTAAAAAATATTAAAAATCACATTTCGTCATAAATGTAGGCCAAAATGTATTCTGCTACTTGTCTTTACTAAAAAAAAAATCCCAATACGTGTAAATTAATTGGTTTACGTAAATGTTATACTAGTAATGGCAGCAATCAGCAACTTATAGCGGGACTGCGAGATTCCGGCAGGTATTCGGACACTGGGGGGAACTGACTTGGTGTCACTGACATCCCAAGTGACACCAATACAGTGATCAGTGCTAATAAATAGCACTGATACTGTACTAATGGCACTGAGCATGAAGGAATTAACATCTGGGGCGGTCAAAAGGTTAACTGTGTGCTTTTTCACTATGGGGGCTGTGTGTGTGTGTGCGTCACTGTGAGCACACTGCTTTGTGCAGGAACTGACAGGGGAGAGATCTGTATTGTTTACATACAGGTCTCTCCCCCGTTGGAGATACTCTGCGATCACCGGGTGTTGGCGAGTAATCACCGTCCGGGACCCGGTGATTGACAGCGAGTGCCTCCTACCAGGAACTGCAAAATCACATACAGTTGCAAGAAAAAGTATGTGAACCCTTGGGATTATGTGGAGTTTTGCATGAATTGGGCATAAAATGTGCTCTGAATGTCATCTAAGTCACAACAATAGAAGAACACAGTCTGCTGAACATAATACTACACAAACATTAGATGTTGCCATGGTTTAATTGCACATAACGTAAACATTCACAGTGCAGGGAGGAAAAAGTATGTGAACCTTTGGACTTAATAACTGGTTGACCCTCCCCTGGCAGCAATAACCTCAACCAAACGTTTCCTGTAGTTGCAGATCAAACCTGCACAACGATCTGGAGTCATTTTGGACCACTCCTCTTCACAAAACTGTTTCAGTGTAGCAATATTCTTGGGATGTCTGGTGTGAATCGCTCTCTTAAGGTCATGCCACAGCATTTCAATCGGGTTGAGGTCAGGACTCTGACTGGGCCACTCCAGAAGGTGTATTCTGTGCTGTTGCAGCCATTGTTTTGTTTTATTACTTGTATGCTTTGGGTCATTGTCCTGTTGCATCACCCATCCTCTGCGGAGCTTCAGTTGGCGGACAGATGGTCGTACGTTTTCCTGCAAAATGTCTTGATAAACTCTGGAATTCATTTTCCCATCAATGACAACAATCCGTCCAGGCCCTGAGGCAGCAAAGTAGCCCCAAACCATGATGCTCCCTCCACCATGTTTCACAGTGGGGATGAGGTTTTGATGTTGGTGTGCTGTGCCTTTTTTTCTCCACACATAGTGTTGTGTGTTTTTCCCAAACAACTCAATCTTGGTTTCATCTGTCCACAGTATATTTTGCCAGTAGTGCTGTGGAACATCCAGGTGCTCTTTTGCAAACTTCAAACGTGCTGCAATATTCTTTTTGGACAGCAATGGCTTCCTCCGTGGTGTCCTCCCATGTACTCCATTCTTGTTTAATGTTTTCCTTATTGTAGATGTGTCAACAAAAATGTTAGCATGTGCCAGAGATTTCTGTAGTTCTTTAGCTGACACTCTGGGATTCTTCTTTACCTCATACAGCATTCTGCGCTGTGCTCTTGCAGTCATTTTTACAGGACGACCACGCCTAGGGAGAGTAGCAACAGTGCTAAACTT